ATCCCTTAGCTATGGACAATAATATTTATCAGTTGCTTCTAGGTACCAGCCATTTTCCTTGGTAGGTTCAGACATCAAATTTTTTAATACATTTGGAAGCCAGAAATGGGATTTGGCCCTAGAAGGAAAAGAGACACAACAGCACTGGGTGTGTCAGGAAAGCAGACATTTGGCATGATAGAATGCTTCTATAGTCCCAGCTATTCAGAAGGCTGAGACAGGAGGATCACTTCAGCCAAGGAGTTTGAAGCTCTGTGCTTATACCTGGGAATAACCACTGCACTCCAGCCTGGGCAACATAGTGAGATTCTGTTTTCTCTGGAGAGAGAGAGGAAAAAAAAAAAAAAAGGAAAGCATAACGTTGAACAGACCTGGATAAATAGTGAACTTTATGTTCCCGTCTGATATACTACTACACAAGATGTTTGGTAATCATACTATTTGGATAACTATCTAGTAAAAATGACTCCTCTAAGATGAAAACCTAGGATAAATTTCTATGTCTATAACTTAAGACCAGACGCTTCTCTCCTTTGGAACTTAACTCTTTGTTGTTAAACTTTTTACACACTGAGGAATCAGGAAAAAAAAACTTATCCTAGGTTAGATAAGAATCCTCAAGCAGCCACAAACCTTCTTATCCTCTTAATAACAATGAAGCATCATTTTTTGAATGCCTACTGCAGAGTTCTCTAGCTTCTTTGGAAGGATACAAAAAAAATAGAATTAGCTGGGCATTGTGGTTCACGTCTGTAGTCCCAGCTACTCAGGAGGCTGAGGCAGGAGAATCCCTTGAGCCCAAGAGTAAGAGGTTACAGTGAGCTATGATGATGCCACTGCACTCTAACCTGGGTGACAGAGAGAGATCCTATCTAAAAAAAAAAAAGAACAAAATAAGTAGAAGACATGACTTACTCTCTTAAGAACTTAAATGTAGGTGGAATTTTTTTTAATGTACATATGTGAGAAGAGTTTGTTCACTTAACATTTAATGTGCTTTATCCCATTTATGTTTTTATCAACAATTCCACTTTTTACTAGATAAGTACCTCAAAAGCAGGTAATATACTAATTTTTGTCCCCTAATGTATATTGTAAAAGCTCCAAAAATATTGTTTAATTAATGAGTAAATAGAGTAGATGAGAAGAGAAAAAGATCAAGATAAGTTCATTGGAATTAATCCAGAATTGTCTGAATGAGTCAGTTGCCTGGATAGTCAGTTCTGGTGTTCTCCTCATTTGTGAAACTGTTGACACAAGAAGCGTACATTGATTTCTGTATAGAATGTTTTTAATTGAGTTAACAAGTTTCTGTGTGCTCAGTGGTACTAAAGACGTAAGGGTCAGAAGGCACTTGGTCTTCTGCCATTAACAACAGCAGATTCCTCTAGCAGACCAAGAGAATTTAATTAATCGGGTTATAGTTGTATGGCCCATTGTCAGATGTAGTTGGTGCTTTTGTCATTGCAAGGAACTAAGACCTTTTCCATTCCATTTCCTTGCAGATGGCAGATCCTAGAAGACCCTTACTTCTTCCTGCAACCAGCGTGTTCTTCATTTTTCTCCTAATCTAATTATAGAATGATAAACTATCTGTGACTTTCAAACTGACAAGTACCTTTTTTTCTGTCCCCTTTAAGTCCTCATTTGATGCAAGAACCCTCATATTCAGAAGCTTTCAAATAAACCATCAATGTAGATAGCTTATAGTTTGGTTAAGTACTTATAGCCCCAGGTTCAGATCACATCCAATTCAACATTAATGAACCATAATGATTTAAAGTTAACTTAAAGGATCCAGCTAAGGTAGACAGGAAACTTGGGTTGGAAAAAGTAATTGTGTATTTATTTCTCTGACAGACATAAGCCAAATTCTTTTTAGCATTTATAGAAATTGACTTTTTCTGATTGGTGCATCTATTATCCAGCATCCCTGGGATGTTAACAGTATTTGTATAGCAAAGTACCCTTTTATTGTACCTCTTATTGAGAATCTTTAGGACATCTTTCTCCCTGAATGTCTCCAACCTAGACTAGATTTGTTTTTATTTATCTCCTCATACTCCAGCTAGAAATTGTACTAGCTGTCAAACCAGGTGTGGATTATGTAGGGATAAAGATTGGAATAGAGGGAAGGAACAAGTGTACATGTGGAGAATATTTGAGCTTTCCACCTATGTGTGAAATTTGATTAAGCTTCAAAGCTTAAATACCTGAGGGCCCTGCTGACTACCCTGGGATATGTGTATAACAAGTTAGATTTTTGGAACATCCAAGGCTCTGGCTTTCTTAACATCTTGTGGGTCTTTATAAGGAGACTTCATAATCTCTCCAGACCAGTTTTTTGTTTGTTTGTATTATTTAAGGGTTTTGTTTGATTTGGTTTGGTTTTAAAACTGTTTAGTGGGGACAGGAGGGATTTGGGATCTAGTATAGATAGGGACTTGTATGAAACATACTAACAAATATTTCTGAAAAAGATCTCTCTAGAATTGTTTGCAGGTGACAGATAAGAAAGGGAAGTAAGCTCCTGTGGGAATGCCTCTTTCTAAGAGTTTTACATAAAACAGGATTCTCCCCTAATGAAACAGAGTCCTCTGTTTATTTAGTTACAAGCTCTAAAAACAAGTTCAAGATAAGCCCCAGTACAATAGTATTTCTACTGCTAGCTGTGTAATCTTGAGTAAATAACTAGACTATTTCTTCTGGAAAAGGTGGTAGTATATTACAGAGGAAAAAACCCACACATGTGCCCTTCTAATTCTGGCCATTTGTGTTTGTATATCAGTCAGCACCTCACAATAACTTTATTTTAAAGTAATCATTATTGGAAAATATTAATACAAAACCCTTTTGATTTTATTTATTTTGGTGATGGACTCCTGTTTAGTTTAGTAAAAAAAAGTATTGGTGTTAGTCTCATTGCAAAGAATTACCTACTTGAATGCTCAAAAAAGGAATTAAGTAGAAAATACTTTTTCTTTTTTTAAATATCTAAAGGTTCTAGGTAAGCTAACATGTATCATTCATGAAAATGGTAAATGATAAGTGATGCTTAGCTTTCCTGGTAGCTGTACCTGAGCTAAACAGGGAGAGTATTTGGATTTAATTTCAAATAATATAATGCAATAGCTTTCATTGGTGAGGCAGAACAGTAGCAGCTTGTGTTAGTCTTTTTATTATTTTAGGAGGACATCTCTTTGCTCATGACTGCTGGAATTTAATCATAAAACATGTGACCTTTTAGAGTGTGAGTAGCACTCACTATAGAAGAATGCTTGCCTGTCTTAATTTTGTTAGCTCACAAAATAGACAATTCTGTTTCTTTAGTAAACTAATGATTAAAGCTGCCAGTTTTCAGTTCACCAGCTTTAATACTCTGCTTAGGATTTTTACTGGGCCTAAAATTAACTAGTATGGATTTAGTTTGCTAGAAATTCTTAGAGATTCCCAAAAACTAGTACAAAGAAATGGCTAAAGATAAAGATCTCTATTCTGTCAGAAATTGAGAGAGGAAGCTTACTTATCTTTGGGACCTTCTTTTTCAGGGGGTATCTTTCCTTTGGAATGTGAACAATGAAAGGTAAACAATTGAATATTCTGCCTCAGTTTCAGTTAAAAACAAGTGTTATGGCTAAAGGTTAAATGAAGAGGTGTTTACAAAGCTTAGCCCAGAGAACTAAGATTTGAGTCCTGCATTTTAGTCGTATCCAGGGTTTTCATACTATACCCAAAAGAGCTGCATTGCTTTTTGGAAGATTGTCTCTCTCTGTAGGGGTTCTAGAAGTACCATTGCGACTTGCAAGTGTTCTCACCAGGAATAAACAAATGTAGGTGATAACTGATGCCTTAAACTCTGCTGGTAGCTGTACCTGAGCTAAACAGGGAAAGTATTAGGTTTATTAATAATTTCAGATAACATACTACAATACCCTTTGTTGGTAAGGCAAAACAGTGGCTGCTTGTGTTAGTCTCTTAGACAAAATGTAAATGATTAATACTAGCACTCTTGGATTCCTTTAGTTGTATTTTTCACAATTCATATTAAGCTCCAAAATGGGCAAAAACCAAAGATAACATTATACTTATTTTTACTGTTTTAAGAGGTAGGTTATAAAAATCAAGGCAATTTGTATGCTGTATTTTAAATCATCAAAGCTGAACTGGCCTTGGGAAGAAGAGACCTTTAAGAAAATACACATTTTCATTTACCAATTCAATGGGTAAAATAAGGAAAAACTAAATTCCATGAGAAAAATACTGTAGCAACTGCTCATTCTTTTGCTCACTGTCTTCCTGATATTGTTAAGGTTCAGAATATATTCTAATTTTACTATACAGTGTTGGCCTCTTCAGAGGCCACTAAAGACACATGAACTTGTTACCTCATACCACCTCTCAGCTGACTTTGTGTTCAGCCATACTAAGGTCTGAAATGAAAACCCATGTGAGAACATAGCATTTGCCTTTCACACAGCAATTCACTGCCTGATCCAACTCAGCTCTTAAAACTCGGTAACGTGAGACAAATATGACATCTAAGATTGTTTATACCTGAAGAACAGCATCTTAAACCAGACAGTAACCCTAGAGAACAGCTATTTGCTCAGCAGATTTGTATTTGTGTTTACCTTATTTAAAGAATCTTTTACATGAAACTAAAATAGCATAAGAGATTTTGAGGAAACCTGAAGAAGACAACTTTAGCTGTTTCATATGTGTGTATGTGTATATGTATAGAGAGAGAGAGACAGAGAGACTGTGGGGGGTCATAAATACAAGTTGTATGAAAAACTGCCTATAAATCCAACCATGCCTCTTAATTTTTATTAAAATACTTGTAACTGAAATAAAGTGTACTTTCCAAGTTTGTCTGTTTCAGTTCTGTTTCCTCAGACTTGGGTTTGAAGTTTTCATTTGACAGAGTCAGGGTCTCAGATTTAGTTCCTTGCGTTTTTTTCTAGAGTAGATCTTTATAGTAGAAGTGCAAATTGAAAGTGATGGAGGCCAGGCATGGTGGCTCACGTCTGTAATGCTAACATACTCTGGGAGGCTGAGGCGGGTGGATCACTCAAGGTCAGGAGTTCAAAACCAGCCTGAGCAAGACCTTGTCTCTACTAAAAAATAGAAAGAAATTAGTTGGCCAACTAAGAATATATAGAAAAAATTAGGGGGGCATGGTGGTACGTGCCTGTAGTCCCAACTACTCGGGAGGCTGAGGCAGAAGGATCACTTGAGCCCAGAAGTTTGAGGTTGCTATGAGCTAGGCTGATGCCACGGCACTCTAGCCTGGGCAACAGAGTGAGAGACTCTGTCTCAAAAAAAAAAAAAAACAAGGACTCCCGCGCACGCTGAAGATGGCGGCAGCAGTGTGCAGGTTGCTCCGGGCCTCGGTTGCTCGACAGAAATTGTTGCTTTTAGCGACAAAGCCAATGAATTTCGGGACGTGAACTGTGAAGTTGTTGCAGTGTCAGTGGATTCCCACTTTAGTCATCTTGCCTGGATAAATACACCAAGGAAGAATGGTGGTTTGGGCCACATGAACATCGCGCTCTTGTCAGATTTAACCAAACAAATTTCCCGAGACTACGGTGTGCTGTTAGAAGGTCCTGGTCTTGCACTCAGAGGTCTCTTCATAATTGATCCCAATGGCGTCATCAAACATCTCAGTGTCAATGACCTCCCAGTGGGCCGCAGTGTGGAAGAGACCCTCCGCTTGGTGAAGGCATTCCAGTTTGTGGAAATTCATGGAGAAGTCTGCCCAGCAAACTGGACACCGGATTCTCCTACAATCAAGCCAAATCCAACTGCTTCCAAAGAGTACTTTGAGAAGGTAAACCAGTAGATCGCCCCATGTGTACCTGCAGCTTCTCACACCAGAGAAGAACCACAGTTGGAACCTGCTTTTAGCATTTAAGAGATGATTGTTTGTAGAAGGCAAAGAATCAATTATGCTTATATTCATAAATACTACTCTTTTGTTTTTGTAATACTGGCTAAGACTTTTTAAATGTGGTTAGTTATTAGTATTATAAAGAGTTCTTTATTGGTAACATCTTGATGGCTAGCTAGCTAGTTTCTACAGAATGCCTTGTTCACCTATTTCTTAGATCATGTCTTCAAAGGGTAAAAGAAACACTCTTTTTGCTTAGCCTTATTTAAACCTTTGTCTACACCAAAGTAGTACAACAAGTATCAAAAGCCTCTGATCAAGGGTCCTGAAATTTTGTTTTTAAATTTCTTTGTATTACACTGAATCTTCTTTTAAGGTAACAAGGATCACAGTTTTAAGTTGTTAGCATCAGCAGTCTAACTTAACATCTCCCAATGGATGTATGTGTGATTGAAGAAAATGTGAATCATGTTATAAAAAAGCACGGCAACGTGACTTAACTGATCATGCGTGGTCCTCATCCCTGAGATTTAGAGTTTACATAGTCCTTTTACTGATTGTATTCATTAGCTAACTTAGTGTCTACATGTTTCCAGGCATTGATTAGGTATAATTATAAAGGATATTTATTCAATCCAGGGATTGCATTTTGAAATTATTATAATTATTTTCTTTCTTGAAGTGTTCACTATAAAATATATGAAAAAATAAACATATTTTAAAATACTTCAAAAAAAACAAGAAAAGAAAGGAAGTCTTGTTCTTGAGATTAGAAGCTCCATTGAGATATCCTTTTGTTGAATTGGAGATTTCAACAGAAGAGTCAGTGTTCTAGCTTTATTAAATAAACCTTGAAAAATAAGCATTAGTTCTAGTAGGTATGTACCTTTGGTATGGACCTGTCATATCTTATATATAACTAGAAGTGAGTTTAGAGAACACCTAATCCAAAGCTTCATCTTAGGGATGAATAAATAGGCCCATACAAATGTGAAACATGATATTTTCTTTTTAAAGGAAAGAGAAAATGATAAACACAAGGTTCAAGCACTCGAGGGAAGAGTCCAGGGCAAGGGGATCAAGAAGAAACATAGGGTATTAGTAGTGGTCTGTTTGGTAAGTAGGATGGTGAGTTTCTTGGTGTTTGTTATGCTGCGTGTTTATTAAATATTGTATAATTTTAAAACATTTGGGAATAATTGCTAAAATAGTTGCAGGGTGCTTACCATAGGCAATTCAGTTTTTAACTTAGCACTTTACATATTTTAACCCAGGTGGGGGGGGGAAATATAGGCCTTGAAAATTTGATCTTTGCTGAGAATATACAGCTGGTTACCATAACCTAGGATTTCTGATTTCTGACTTAACTACTTTTAGCTTCTGTACTATCCTTCTTCCCTAAATGTTAATTCTACACTCAATCTCTCATTCTCCCAAGCTGAGTTTCCTCCTGAACTCATTTCCATGTCTGCCAGTTTATAGAGTCCATGAACAGTTATTTCAGTACCCTGAACCAACACCTTGGATTCCTATGACCTCCTGTTCTACTGTCTCTGCTTCATCAATTCCCAAGTCAAGTGTAATCCACCATCTCTGACTCTGTTCCTTCTATGTTATCAAGCATAGTTATAGAAAATCACATAGATATGCCACCTGATGACTCCACTATAGATATATGGTTTCAAAATTCAAGCACTCATTCCTGTTTGGCTTTTTCATATTTACTCGGTGACTGTTGGAAGGAACCCCTTTTACGATTCTCCTCTGCTTTGTACTCCCCACTTCCTGCCCCCCACTTTCAGCAGATGACTTTGCTTTTGACTTTGAGAAAATACTAGTCATCAAACTTAACTTACTCATTAACTCTTACAGCATCTCTTTTCCTTCATCTCAAGAGTTATGCTTCCTCTCCAATGCTAACTTTATCTGTGTACCATGTATTGTATCCCTTCATATTATCTATTGCTGCATAACAAATTTGCCCAAAACAGTATATTAAAACAATAGTAGGGCTGGGCATGTTGGCTCATGCCTGTAATCCCAGCACTTTGGGAAGCTGAGGTGGGAGGATCGCCTGAGGACAGCAATTTGAGACCAGCCTGAGCAATATAGCAAGACCCCATCCCTACAAAAAAAAAAAAAAAGTTGGGCTCGGTGACACTCATCTGTTAGCTACTTGGGAAGCTGAGGTGGGAGGATCACTTGAGCCCAGAAGTTCAAGGCTACAGTGAGCTATGATTGTGCCACTGCACTCCAACCTGGGAAACAGGGCAAGACCCTGTCTCAAAAAAATAATAATAAACATTTACTACTCTCTCGATTTCTGTAAGGTATTTGGGAGTTGCTTAGCTGAGTAATCCTGGCTTGATGTCTTTCATGTGGTTGCACTAAAGACATCCATTGCAAGATTTAGCCAGGGCTGCAGTTTTCTGAAGACTGCACTGAAGCTGGATGATTTGCTTCTTAGGTGGCTCGCTTACATACCTGGCAGTTCAGTATTGGTTGTTAGCAGAAGGCCTCAGTTCCTCCCAACATGGAACACTCCACAAATGTTTGGAGTGTCCTCACGTGTCAACTGACTTTCCCCACAATGGGCAATTTAAGAGCAAGGTAGAAGCTAGAAACTCTTTTATGACCTAACTCCAGAAGTCATACTCTAGTCTTTCCACAATATGCTTTTGGTTACACTGGTGAGCCCTTTTCATTGTAGGAGGGGACTTCACAGAAGCACAAATACCAGGAGGCAAGAATCAATGAGGACTGTCTTGAACCAGGCTGCCACACTCGGTTTCTAATATCTTCCATAAGTTATTCCCTCTCTTCTCTTTATCTTAACTGTATTCTCTTTCCTTTATTCTTTCAGCCATGAAAATGCTGGTTATGTTTATTCTTTTAAAAAAAAGATACACTCTGTTACCCATATTGATCAGGATATAGGTGCAGAGAACAGAATCCATTCCAGCTAGTAAAGACTTACTTGAAGCAGTAAAGACTTGTTATAGGGCATTAAGTGGGTCACAGAATTCTTGGGATGGCTACAGAAACAAACTCTAGCCTGGACTTCCAGAAATGATTCCTAAAGATAGCTAAGGAAGCCACTCTTGCTTCTACTACAGTTCAAAAGCTGCCATAACAGCTGCCAGTTCAAGTAGCATACCACCTTTGCCATTGTCAGCATCCCTAAATGGATGCCCTGCAGCCTGTCTTAACCCCTGCTGGCTTCAGAATCCAAGTGATAGACTAGTGTATGTGTGATTGGCAGAACTTAATTCAATGTGATTTAAGCTAGCTAGCTACAAGGGAATGTGGGAAATGTAGTCTTTAGCATTTCAGCTTCTGCATGCTAGAAGAGTGTGCATGCTGACCAAACCAAGACATAAAACCCTCCACCCTCCCTCTCAAGCAATTACTTGCTTTTTTCCTTCAGTGCCAAGTTTTTTGAAAGAGTTGGTCTTCAGTCTATACTTGGTCTTCAGTTCTCCTTCATCCATTGCAATCTGCCCACTCTGTTCACACTAATGTCTCCATTGGACACCCTAATTTTCAGGACCAGTGGTCTATTTCAGTCCTGTTCCCTAGAGCAGGGGTCCCCAACGTATCGTGAGTTTTATGATTTCATTATATTTTACAGTGTAATAATAGAAATAAAGTACATAATAAATGTAATGTTCTTGAATCATCCCAAAACCATCCCCCACCTCCCTGGTCTGTGGAAAAATTGTCTTCCATGAAAACAATTCCTGGTGCCAAAAAGGTTGGGGACTGCTGCCCTAGAACATTCAAGGAGTAGCAGGTTGTTTCTTGTGCTGCTTGTGGTAGGAGCCATGTCAACATTATGCACAAAAGAATTACTTAGGGCAAACTTTCCTCAAAGGGGCCTTGAACTTGAAGGTGCTGAGAGCTTCAGCTGCCACCTAGACTTGCTCTTCCTTGTACATGACTAATCTAGGTTAATGGTGTTACTGTTCACTCAGTCTTTTCAGAATTCCCTCACATTCAGTCACTAAATGCTGGCTTTTTTTTTTTTTTTTTTTTTTGAGACAGAGTCTTGCTTTGTTGCCCAGGTTAGAGTGAGTACCGTGGCGTCAGCCTAGCTCACAGCAACCTCATACTCCTGGGCTCAAGCAGTCCTTCTGCCTCAGCCTCCCAAGTAGCTGGGACTACAGGCATGCGCCACCATGCCCGGCTAATTTTTTTTCCTATATATATTAGTTGACCAATTAATTTCTTTCTATTTTTAGTAGAGACGGGGTCTCGCTCTTGCTCAGGTTGGTTTCGAACTCCTGACCTCAAGCAATCCGCCCACCTCGGCCTCCCAGAGAGCTAGGATTACAGGTGTGAGCCACCGTGCCCGGCCAATGCTGGCATTTTGATACCAGTGATGACTTCTGAAGCCAACCAGTTCTTGCATCTCCACTGCCACCACTCTATTTCAGATCATTACCCTTGCCTGGATTATTGTAGCAACCTCCTAACTAGTCCAAAGGTTTTCCCTACCTGAATTTATCTTCCACTTACCTTAGCACAACACTCAAGGTACTTAATGATCTGTTTACAATCCTAATAATAATAGCAGAGACTTTTTGAGCACTTAGTATGTGCTAATCATTGTATAATGTACTTTATATGCATATGTCATTAATAATTCCACATAATAATTCCACTAATGGAAGTGGATACTATTAGGTCCCCACTTGGTAGATAAGGAAACCAAGGGTCACAGAAGTTGTAAGAATTGACCAGAGTTGCTTAGTTACTATATGTAGGAACCAGAATTAGTCATGTCTGCTAGCCCTAAAGGCAGAACTCTTAACCCCACTGCATTTTACAATTGCTTCGACTTCATCTTTCCCCATCCTGTTCATAGTTGAGCCATGATGAACTCCCTATCTCTCTTACATGCTCTTTAATAACCATACCTCAGCACATCTTGTTTCCTAAAATGTACTTGTTTCCTCCCCTTTCCAGTGCTTTTCTACTTTAGCATATTCCAATTCCATCTTAAAATTCCAATTCAAATATTACCTCCTTGAGTAACTTCCAAGTTCTCTGTTCTATGCTCCTTTTCTGTTCATACTCTTTTTAATAGCACTGAATTGTGTTGTAATTATCTACTAAATGCCTGTGTCAGGGTTTGGAAGGAAACAAACTCTTGATATTTTAAATAGAAAGGGAATTTAACACAGGAAATTAGGTGCTTACAAAATCATCTGAATAGTTGAAGAGCAGGGTATGAGTGGGGCCTCTAGGAATAACTCCCAGAACACTACCAAACTAATTCATCAAGAGAGCTGTAGCTTTAGATGCCACTGGAATAGTAAATTTGAGAAGGTAGCACCATAGCTACAATCCAGGGATCAGGAACCTACCATACAATCCCACAATGTATGCAGTATCAGAATGTTTATAGACTAATGTAAATGTCCAAGTACATAGTCAACAGAAGAGGGGGAAAGGAAA